CGCAACTGCATAGTTAAATGAGCTCGAGACACATTAAACATTTTCAGTTGGTTAGAAATTTTGAATTTTGCCCAGGTGGAAGCCGAGGCCTACTCGTATCGATTTTAGACCACCAAGGGATCATTAACATGCGCAACGTGCACACGGTGCCTCCGAGATTTTTCGCCCTTGTCTCAGAAGGCTAGGTGTAGATCTTTCCTACCAGAAGTTCAGGGGTGTGGCTGAAAGACAGCAGTAAGAAGGAGCCACGGAGTAGCAGTAGAAAGGCTACAGAAAGAGTCAGGAGCCCAGTGGAGGGTGCATAGGAGGTGTGGGGGTGGGGGCAGAAAGTGGAGACGAAAGCAGACGACAGAATACTGCAAGAGAGAAGGAAAGCAGGTGAAAGGAGACAATTTTAGAGAAGAAAATGTTTCGGTCGCTACCCGAATTCGAACCCGGGACCTTTTGAATGAGAGGCGAACACCTCAACCTATAAGCCACAAGACCCCCCTTTTCCTAGTCAGTGATTGTCAGATACGAATAAGATCACTAGCATGGCGCCCCAAAACAGACAGGAGACAAACAACCAACAAACAAGAACTCTGTACGGACGTATCAGACACACATCGCTACCCTAGAGTTACAAACTTAGGTCTCCTCAGTACGTATCAGACACACATCGCCACCCTAGAGTTACAAACTTAGGTCTCCTCAGTACGTAGAAGTTAGATCTAGTTCTAAGAAATTTGACGTCACAATGTTTTAGTTTTATTTAATAATGTCAAGCTTTTATCGATTGCAATTATTTGAATATCTTGATACCAACTCCGAATATTCTTATGATATTGGTAGAGCAGATAGAGCGTTAAATGCAAATTTTGCTTTCAGAGCTGAATAATAAGGTCGTTGTTACTCAAATCGGCTAAAAATGTCAGAATCAACTGTATAATTCTAAGGTAGCAAACTGACCGATCAGCACACAAAAGACAATGTTGCAAAACATTTCAAACAATAACCCCCCCAGGGCAGTGCTACTGACTGAAGTCTGAAGTTGTCTTTAGGCCATTCCCAAAGGTGGGATATTAACACGTTCTTATGCATAGTAGACTTGTAAATGGGCTGATTTATCAATGCCATGCTCATACTGTGCCGGAACAACATAGGGGGAACTGCTGCTTTTTGTTTCCTCATCCTTACTATCGTCATTTTCCTCTACTTCTTTTGTAAGTGCGTTACTCCCTTGTGAACTGCTATTTCCGGGGTGCCTTGATAGTCTAAGCAGACTTCGTGCTGTTGAAGCAAGAGAGGTGAGCAGAGTAAGCCTGATTCCCCGTTATAATGACTTCTCTGTTGACATCCACCCCTTGGCGCTCATATGACCTTATGCAGTTGCGAACGCCGTAAAACCTCTATTAAAACTAATTCACGGAGACGGAATTGAATAAGGAAGTTCCTCATTTTAAAGAGCACCTAAACAGCGTGTCCTCAAGGGTTGTTTGTCAATCAGGTCTGTTGGGGTAATAGTATAGATTGTAAGGCGCAGAGAGCTTGCTGTTGAGCGGGAATTTGCTCTATACAATAAATGCTTTCTATTTCTTAACCAGAACGCTCGTATCCAATGGGTTAATGCAACACATTAAGGCCACGCTGAGGCGCGGTGCAGTAGGTTCCCCGTGTGTGTGTGTGTGTGTGTGTGTGTGTGTGT